AAAGTAACAATTTTTTTTGCAAACTGGATCTAACCCTATAGAAATGAAAACTATATCATAACCAAGTAGGATTTATCCTGGGAATGTAAAGCTAGTTTAACACAGAAAAATCAATCAATGTAATTCACTATATTAGTAAAAAAAGAGAAAAAATAGGTCATTTGAATAGGTGGATAAAAAGCATTAAAAAAAAATGCCGCATTCATTATAAATAGCTGGAGGAACAGAAGGGAATTTCCTCAAATTTATTATGAACATCCTTTAAAAAACCTACAGATAACATCCTACATCAATGGTGAAAGGCTCAATGCTTTATATGTACAAACAGAAACAAGGCCAGACTATCCACTCTCACCACTTTTATTCAACACTGTACTGAGGTCCTACCAGTGGAATAAGGCAAGAAAAAGAAATAAAAGGCAAGAAGACAAGACATTAAACTGTCTTTATTTGCAGATGATATATCATATATAACAATCCAAAAGAATCCACAAAAAAGCTATTAAAATAAGTAAATTTAGCAAAATCATAGGACACAAAGATAAAAATCAATTCTGGTTTTACAGAGTAGCAGAGAATAATTATAAAATTTACAATACCATCAAAAATATATAGAAATAAATTTAGTGAAACATTTTTAATATCTGTGCACTGAAAGCAATAAAACATTGCAAAGAAAATTAAGGGACAACTATATAAGTGGAACAATATACCATGTCCGTGAACTGGAAGACTCAATATTGTTAAGATTGCCCAAATGGATGCATTGATTGAGGCAATCCCAATCAAAATTCTAGTGAGTTTTTTTAAAGAAACTAACAAGCTGATGCTAAAATTAATATAGAAAGGCAAAAGACTTGGAACAGAAAGAACCCTTTTGAGAAAGAAGAATGAGATGGGAGTACTTAGATTACCTGACTTTAAGATTTACAAAGTTACAGTAACCAAGACAGTATAACACTAACATAAGGAAGGACATATAGATCAATGGTACAGAATAGGGTCCGGTAATAAACCCTAGCCTTTTATAATCAACTGATTTTGACAAAGGTGTTACAATAATTCAACAAGGAAAAAGATAGCTGTTTCAGCAAATGGTGCTGGAACAACTAAATAACTGTATGGGGTGGGGAGGGGGCCTTACCGTTAACTCATACTATTCACAAAAATTAACCCTAAGTTGTTCCAACTTAAACATAATAGCTAAAAACTATTAGACTTCTAGAAGAAAACACAGAATATCATCTCTGTGACTTGGGTGGCAGATTCCTAAAATACAAAAAGCACAAGCCAGAAAGAAAAAATTGAAAAGGTAGGTCATCAAAATTTAAAACTTCTGCTCTTTGAAAAATAGTTAAGAAGATACACCACCGGCAGGGAGAAAATACTTGCAAAGATATATGTGAAAGAGAGATTATATATAGAATATATAAAACACTCTTACAATTCCAATAAGAATACGTATAAAAGAACAAACAAACCAATTTAAAAATGGGCAAAAATGTGAACAAACATTTCACAAAAGAAGATATATGAATTGGCAAAAAGCACACCACCATTAATTATCAGGGAAATACAAATTAAAACCACAATGAGACACTACTATTAGATACCCAGTAGAATGGCTAAAGTTAAGAAGACAATATCAAATCATGACGCAGATGTGGAGCAAATAAACTCTCATACATTGTTAATGAGAATGAAAAATGGTACACTTTGTAAAACAGTATAGCAATATCCTATAATATTAAACATACATTTCTCATATGACCCAGCAATCTTAGGTATTTACCCATGAGAAATAAAAATTTAAGTAGATACAAAGACTTGTCTGCAAATGTTCATAGCACCATAATTCATAATAGCCCAAAAACTGAAAGTGGAACTCAAATGTCCATCACACAGTGACTAGATAAAGTATGGTAAAGTCATACTATGGAATACTATGCAGCAATAAAAAGGGACAAAATATTAACATACATGATATATTTGAATGTCAAAAATATTATGCTATGCAAAGTCAAACACAAAAGACTACTTATTATATGATTCCATTTATAAGGAAATCTAAAAGAGACAAACTACAGTGACACAAACCATGGTTCCTGGGTCAAGAGACAGGGAAAGGGATCAAAGAGTATCGAGGAAATTATTTGGAGTGAAGGAAGTGTTCTCTATCTTGAATGTGGTGATAGTTACACGGCTGTGAATAACTTAATTCATCAAACTATATACTAAAAAAAAAAAAAAAATATTTGCAACTCTCTCAGAGATAAGGAGCTCATTTTTCTAAAATACAAAGAGCTCTTTAAAAAAAAAAAAAATCAATGAGAAAAGGACCAACAACCCAATAAAAAGCCAAGAAATGAACAGGTCATTACAGAACGAGATGACTAAATAGCTCTTAAATAAATTTAAGCAATGCCTAATTGCACTGATATGAGAATGTTAAATTGTATTGAAAAACAATTTTTCACCGACAGAATTGCTAAGAATTCAAAAGGCTAGTAAATCATCCTGTGAAGGCAATATGGAAACACTCCCAAAGAGCTGATGGACAGGTAAATTGACATAGTCCTTACCAAGAGTAATTTGGCAGTATCTATAAAAGTTTATCCTTTCCCCAACAGTAATTCCACTCTGGAAATTTATCTCATATATATACTTGCAGACATGTAAAATGACGTATGTATGTCGTTAATCTATATGGAATTAATTTTAATAGCTGACGATGACAACTCAAATGACTTTCAGTGGTGGACGGAATGGTTAAATAAATTATGATACAGTATGATACATTCAAAAAATAAAATATTATGCATCTATAAAAAATAAGAATTCTCTGTATACTGATTTGAAAATAGCTATAAAATACACTGTTAAATGAAGAAAAAAAGGCAGGAACAGAACGTTAAGGGTGGTATGCCACATCCAAAGTTAAATAAAGGGGAGTAAGAATTTATAAGTTCCTAATTGTATATGCATACAGAAACTTTGAAAATATGCGCAAAACTAGTAAGAATTGCTACTTAGAGTGAAGAACAAGAGGACAGATCACAGAATTGAAACAGAAGACATTTAATTTCTTTTTTCTAGACGATCTGCATACATTACCTCTTCAAAAAGATTAGGTGAATTAATTCAAATAAAGTTTGGTATGAAAAGTAACTAAGAGAATAGACACATTAAGGTGATATGCAAAGACAGATCACAAACTTGGGGACAATATTTACATATCAAATAACAAAAGGATTAATGTCAAAAATACATAAAGATCTCAATCAGTAAAGAGAAAAACTAATCCAAATGGTGAGGAGAAAATGAACAAAATTTATATATATATCACTGATAAGGACACAATAGTCAACAAACACAAGACAACACTAAACTTCATTAATAATTATGGGAATAAAAACTAAAATACTCATGAGATATATTACCTCAACAGTAAAAATTTAAGTCTAACATTATGAGCTGTTGGCAAAGACCTAGATCAGGGTGGCTGGGATATAAAGTAGTAAATCACTCTGTAAACTGCTTTGGCATCATCAACTGAAACTGTGTAATAGGTATACATAACAATCCTTACGGCAGCACTCATTTTATTAGCAAAAAACAGAAAAAACACAAATATCTACTGACAAGAAAATGCATAAATACATTTGGTATATTCAAACTATAGAGAACAGTGGCAGTGCAAATGAAGGAACTATAGCCACAGCATCAACACACACACTCTCATAGGTGCGATACTGAGAGAAAAAAAAATAAAGCAAGTTGTAGAGGAATAATTACATATATATATGTAATTATATATGTATATATGTGTATATATACACACACGTATATATGTATATATCTGTACATATTATACATGTGTGTATATATATATATATGCAGTAATACTATGAATAATAAAAGGCACCAACTGATAAACACAAAATTCAAGATTACAAGTAACTTCTACTGGTAGGAAGGATAGATTTGGACAGAGGACAATGGGAACAGCACAGATACCTATACTGACCTATTCTTTAAGCTTGTGTGATGGTGCTGTTATTGTTAGTCACTATGTTTCAATATATGTAAATAACCTTTTGTATGTATTTAATATTTAATAATTTTCAAACTCGACTGAAAGAAGAAATCAATCATGAAAAGACTAAAGGCTGCAAAAAATACTGTGCCTCAATTTAATTTATAAATAATGAAATCTTAAGAAGAGAAAACATTTGAAGTAGATAAGGTTAACTACTAAACAATTGTTTTTAAAAAGAGTTTAGATAGGAAATCATTGAGAGTGTGACTCTCACCCCCTACCATTCCCTTTCCAAAACGATCAGAGGAAGAAACATAAAAGAAAAAAAAAAGAATTCTGGAACTATAATTGAAGTGTCTCCTATCAGAAATATATAAAGCCACTTCCATTCTCATACTCATTTCATTTTTTTAAAATGTGAAAAATGTATTTACTTAATTTTATTCCCTGCTATGTTCCTGAAAGGATTTAAAGGGACATACAGCAGTAAATAAATCCTCCTTCAATAAACGATTAAAGAAAAATAATGAGGAAACTGAGGAATTAAAATATAATAATAAACCAAAGCCATGGTGAAGGCTAATACACAAACGCAAAACCATAATGAGGTCTTCTACAATTTTTTACTGGATAAAATTGGGCTCTGAATTTACAGTCGACTATAGCAAAGAAGGAAACATGATTAGTTAAAAAACATGATTAGTTACAAGTTAATGAACTCTACTCAAATACCATTATCGGCTTTTCTTGATACTGATTCCAGAGAACTGGAAGGAGAACTGAAAATTGACCATCAAGCAACCAAAATACCCAGAAGGTTAATAAAATTAATGGCTTATTAGAGGACGAGGATTTGGGGGAATACAGAAAAACAATTAGCAGCAAAATTATTAAAGTGACTAACGAAACTACCTAAGATTTAACATAATACCATATATATAGTTATATAAAATGTACTGACCTTCCTGAATTGCCTTATCCACAGTTATCCCAGAAGGTGAATGTAGAAGCTTTTGGTAATTCTGAGCATTTTGGTCAAACAACTGTACAAGAAGAGTGCACGTCTTTTCATATTCACATCTGCTGACAGTGCACAACTGCTCCAGCTGCTGAAACACAGTAGCAGTATCATCCAGTGGATCATCTAAATTATCTCTGCAAATATAGAACAAGTGTGCAGACAACATTAGAATATGATATGCTTTTATTCACCACAAATAAATTTTATGTTAAATAAAAATTCTATCATGGATAAAGAAACAAAAGACAGATTGGAAGGTAAGAAATAAAACGTAAATGAAAATTCTATATTTGAAGACAACATGATTATATACACAAAAGTCCCAAAGAAACCACACACAAAAAAAGCTACTACCTCTTACAGATGAGTTTACCAAGGTCCTAGCATACAGGGTCAATATACAAAATTCAACTGTATCACTATGTTATAGCCATGAACAACTGGAAATTGACCTTTAAAAAACTGCACCTTCCAAAGGGACCAGAAAAATCTAATTAATTAGATCTAATTAAACATACATAAAATCTGAAGGCTGAATACCATACAACAGTGAGGAAAGAAATCACCAAAGAACTAAATAAATTAAAAGATAAACATGCTCACTGACTAAAGACTTGATCCTGCTGAGATGTCACTTCTTCCCCCCAAAAATTAATCTACAAATTTAAAACAATCCCAATCAAAATTCCAGCAAGCTTTTTCGTAGAAACTGGCAAGATGAATCCAAAATTTACATGCAAAAGCAAAGGAAGTAAAAGAGCTAAAACAATTGTGAAAAGGGAAAGCCAAGGCAAAAGACTCACACTACCTGATTTCAAAGCTATTAAAGCTACAGTATTCAAGACAAGGTACTGGTAGAAGGAGAAACACATAGATTAATGAAAGCACATGTATGTGGTCAATTTTTGAAGAGTATAAAGGCAATGCAATGGAGAGAATTTAGTCTTTTCAACAAATGGTGTAATTGGTCATCCATAAAAAACCAAAAAAGCAAAAACAAAAAATAAAAAACCAACTTCAAGCCTTAACTCATATCATATACAAAAATTAACTCAAAATGGATCAGAGAAGTAAATGTAAATTCTAAACCTATAAAACTTCTAGAAGAAACAGTAAAGGATAGATCAGACTTCATTAAACTCTAAAACTTCTGCTCTTTGAAAAAGACTGTCAGGGAAATGAAAAGGCAAGCTATGGACGGAGAGATAATACTTACAAAACACATACAATAAAAAGACTTGTGACCAGAATATATAGACCTTTCAAATCTCAATAAACAACCCAATTAAAAAAGAGGGGGCAACAAATTTAACAGGCACTTTGCCAAACAATACAAATGGTAAACAAGCATGTAAAACGATGGGCAACATTACTGGTCATTAAGGGAATGCAAATTAAATCCAAAATGAGGTACCACTACACACCTATTAGAACGATTAAAACTCTTAAAAACTGACAGTATCAAGTACTGATGAGGATAAAGAGCAACTGGATCTCTCATACATTGCTAGTGGGAATGCAAAATGATACAGCCACTTTGAAAAATAGTTTGGCAGTTTCTCTTAAAGTAAAACATATACTTACCATTCAACCCAGAAATCTCCCATCTAAGCTATTTACCCAAGAGAAATAAAAACTTATCTTCCTACAAAAATCTGTTTAGGAATGTTTACAGCTGTTTTATTCATAATTGACAAAAACAGAAACAACCCAAATGTCCATCAACAGGTGAATGGATAAATAAACTGTGATACATCCATAAAATGAAATATTATTCAGCAATAAATTTTAAGAACTCCTGACGCAACATGGAGGAATCTCAAATGCATTATGCTAAGTGAAAGAAGCTGGACTACATACCGTATGATTTCATCTATACAACATTCTGAAAAGGCAAAAACTACAGGAAAACAAAAAAATCATTAAGTGCCAGAGGCTGGGCGGGGGGGGGGGGGGGGGGGGGGGTGGGAAGGGCTGACTACAAGGAACACAAAAGAATTTTCTGGGTTGATTGAACTATTCTCTATCCTAACTGTAAGGGTAGTTCTACAACTGTATGCCCTTATCAGAACTCACAGACCTGTTCACTAAAAAGGGTGATTTTACACTAGGTAAATTATACCTCAAATGTCTGAAATTCCAAGATGCAAAAGATAAAAACACAACAGAAACATTTAGTTTTCAATACCTCACAACTATGGCAACAGATTCCAACCGAGACGTGATAAAGGCCTTCGTGATTTCTGGTGCATAAGTGTCTAATAAGTGGGGTTCAGTTGATTTCACAAAAGGCACTGATGCTACCATCCTTTGCCACAGAGTTAATAAATAATGAACACTGTTGGGAGCAAATTCCCAATGCTACAAAGAAATAAAGCAAACGTTATTTAAAATGACATATCTTCCTAGAACAAGAACTACAAAAACAAAATCACTAAAAAGATTTTTTTGACAAATTACTAAACACAGGCTTTAAAATTAATTTTATTCTAATTATACAGCCAATGAACATTTAACATAGCAACTTCTGTAAATGCAAAAAGGAATAAAGAAGAAACCAACAATCTCTCATTATTCTAATGTTAAAAATGTTAGTGTACTTCCTTCTAAAATTCTTTCCATGAATATTTTTCAGAGTTAATATCATGTAGAAAATGTGGTTTTAAAAACTCCCCCCCAAACTTATAAAAAGAATTTTTAAAAAAAAAATCTGTAAAAAATGTCTTTTTCATTTCTTCACAAAGATTTTATTATAGCTTCTCAATTCATTCTTCAATTATTAGATATTCAGATAGTCTCTAAATTTTTATTATAAAATATGTTCCAATGAAATTTTACCTAAAACCCTGGAATAAGTATTTTTAGCAAAGTACAGTAACAAATATTAAAAATCCCCACCAAATCTTATCAAGAAATTGTTTTAAAATTATCTACTCTTTAACATCAATTATATACTTTTATTTACCTGTAGGCTAGTAATGGTAAAGTTAGCAATCAATCTGATAACTTCAGGATATTCCTTCACCATAACTAATTCTCCCAGCTGATAATTTGTCTTTAAACGAGCCAAAAATCGGCAAAATTCATGATAATTACCTGGATCAGACAAACCCTAAATTATAAGACAAAAAGAAAGGCTTTTAAAAATACTTAAAAACAAACCAAGCTAATGACCTATCAATAAAATTCCAAGAGTATTCTATTAAGTTTTCCACAGTTTTCACTGGTACTCTGTATCAACTGGGTAGATTATTAATGAAAGAAAACAAATGATTGCTGCTGGATTTAATGTTGTCATCAATGATTCATAATAAGAAATTCAAAGTAGAGGATGCGGAAGAAGCTTTGCACTGTGATGACTAAGTTATGTTTGGGAACCCACTGTATTACACAAAAAATGTGCATGTGTGTGTGCATGCATGTGTGCATGCACTGCAGCTTAAACAGAAGTCAACAGAAGACTTGAGAAATATTTAAGATGAAAATTCAGAATGGGTTCTTGAAGCCCTGGAAAAGAGTGGTACCGACTGAACTGAAGTTAAGATGGTATTTGTGCACACAAATAGAAATTTCTTTTAATTCAACAAATATTTATTGAGTACCTATAGACTCTGTGCCCTCAAGAAACTCCTGGTCCCTAAGTAGAGTCATTCAAAAAACTTAATGCAATGTAGGACAGAAAGTTTAACAGAAGCACCACAAGACACAGAGGTAAACTTGAGGAAGGAAAGGTTAAAAAGAAAGACCAAGAAAGAGGTCCCTCGTTGTCTATGAGAGCTCCCTGAAGACGGGGCACAAGTGCTTTCTTTACAAAAGTTTGAACACTGTGCATTGGCGATGGCATGAAAGAGAATTCAAAAGTATCCGTTTAATACTGAAAGAGTTTCTAAGAAATTTCATCCATATGAACACCGTGAAAATATAAAATAGTGTCTAATTATTAAAGACAAATCACAAAAAGATACTTCATACTCATAGGTCTTTTAATATAATTTTAAAATAATAGAATATTCAAACTAACTTTTACAGACATGAAACATGAACGTGAGGATGTTGGAAAACCAATTAAGACGATTATTTGACATCAGCATATTATTTTCCACATACTGATTGATGACAGTGACTTAACTAAATATTTTAAAGTATATTAGTAAAATCCCATTTACCAACAAAACATGTGTATTTCATGATTGTGCTAACATTGAAAAGATAAAATCAAAGCATAACACACAAAATACTAAAATACTCCCGAGAATGACCTACAAAATCAATTGCTCCTTACTGAGCAAGCACATTTTCTTTATGTACAGATATTATATGTCCCTCGAAAGTTAGTAATAACTAAGAAACAGATAAATCTCCTTACACCATTTAACCTCTTAAAATCTGTACTTTCATTACATATAATTTTAAACCAAAAACAAAATAAAAAGTAAAACAAAAAATTTTATCTAGGCAGCCAAAATCACTAATAATGGCTTTGCAATTCTCTGAAATGAATATTGCTATTGAAGCTTTGCAAGTTAATGTATAGATTTTTAAATCTACAAACTCTTATTTGTCCACAAGAGGGCAAAAAGACATTATCTCATAAATCAAAGCCGCTTAATCCAATATTAACATTCAGATTTATATTACGTCTTCTAGTTCAGAAGGTAGCTATGACTCTGAAGTAATTAATAATTTAAGAAGTACAAGCAAAGAAATGCAGTACACAATGGTATAAATCAGAAGCATCATAAGATATATTACCTTCTGTTCTTATTCACCTAAAAGAATGGAAGAAAATAAAAAAGGAAGAACACAGAAGTCTGTCAGGAAGGCATCTATTTTTAAAAACTGTCCATTTCTACTACAAATGAGATCTAAGGAAGATGGATATGATACTTCATATTTCCTTCCAGAATCATAATCAAGTCACGAGTTTATTACACCTTTCAGCAGAAAAACTGTATTTCTACATACTAAGTATTAATTAAATTACTTCATAAATACCTGAGGGTTTTCAAGTATCCTTTTTACTCCCTTAATTAAATTACCAAGGTACTTGGCACGTTCAGGACTGCTAAATAAGGACCTTCTTGTAGAAGCAAACTGAACTAAACATGAAAGTGCCTAAAAATAGGAACAACAAAATTCATTTCAATTTTAAAAGTAACTATGGCCACATGTAAGGAACACTGTCTTTACATAAAAAAACATTTTTTAATTTTAACGATAGAAAAGTATTATAGAATCCAGAAATAATGAAAGCTACACATCATCAATCACCAATACCACCCATCCCTCTTTAACCCCACCACTAAAATGTATATTCGTGTATATTCTCTTCTAATATATTTTCATATATTTAATATGCCAAAGCAACCTAGACATGCATACACTCAAAAGGCTCCCAATTGCTTCTGTTGCCCAGCTCTGTTCATGAACCAACGTGTTCTACAAAAAATAAAAGATGGTTTTGTGGTAGAATATGTTTGAGAAATACTGTACATCATGTACGGTGATAGCCTCCAAGTGGGAAAACTTTAGTGTACCTTGGTATAACTTTACTTAATCCAACATATCCCAAATTTATGTGGTGACAATACATCTTATCCATACCATCCATTAATAAGTTAAGGCGCAATTTGGAGAATGCTGCTAGAAACATTAGATATTCTACAAAAATGGTCTAGTTATCTTCTAAAAGTTAATACTTTACCAGATTAATTTCACTACTTGGGTTCTTAATTCTACTACTGAAAACCAGTGAAGTCTGTCTGATCATTAAGTGAGAGGCCCACAATTGGCAGCTTTTCAGGCCAAAAGGGCCCGCATAGGTTTTGTTTTGGTCCACATATGTTTGTTTGCCTGCTTTGTAAAAAAAATTAGAACTGGCTGTTAATATTTAAGTATTTTAATTAAGAGATATTACATTATGTCTGGCTTTCTTAGCAGAGGAATCAGAGGATGGCCTTTTAGATGTTCTCCAGTTTGCCACAGTCCTTACTGTTGGGGGGAAAAAAAACAAACGAACAAACAATTCCTTAGGCAATTCTGATGTGTTGAAGGTTTGAGAACTACTAGTGTATTAAAAATATCCAGGGTTTGGGGGCCAAAAACATCTGGGTTTGAATCTCAGCTTCATTATTTAGTTTGCTGCCCTAATGAAATTCATTTTAGCCAGTCTGGCTCTGTTTCCTTGTCAACACAGAGAGGATAATAATACTTACCTTGCAGGGCCACTTTGAGGATGAAAGGAGAGAAGCACCATATAATAGGGCAGGCCCAATAAATGTTAGTTACTTTCTCTTAAAGCAGTTATTTTCCACTTAATTTTTTAAGCGCCAGTAGCTTGTTTTATTGCAAAAACATAATTGTACATGAAACCATGGTTTTTAAATAACTAAAAATAAAACTATTCTGGTTAAAAGACAGAAGGCTAAAACTCTGGCACCACCTGGAAGTGAGTATCCTGTGAAACCCAGTTTAAAACCACCACCTCAGGGCGCCTGGGTGGCTCAGTCAGTTAAGCGGCTGCCTTCAGCTCAGGTCATGATCCCAGGGTCCTGGGATCGAGTCCCACATCGGGCTCCCTACTCGGCAAGGAGTCTGCTTCCCCCCTTCCCACTCCCCCTGCTTGTGTTCCTGCTCTCACTATCTCTGTCTCTGTCAAATAAATAAATAAAAATCTTTAAAAAAATTAAAAAAAAATAAAACCACCACCTTAAAACCCTCGATTGGAGAGCAGACATGTTTTTAAACAAAAAAAAAGGGGAGAGAGTATTTTTGTAAATCTATTCCTCCCTTCTAGGCAATAACATATCTAAACAAACACACCACTCTAATGTACTTTAAATCTAGAACATCTTTTTTCAGGAAATGGCAGTATCAGAATTCTCCAACTTTACTTTTAGAAGCTTAGATATTAAACTGACAACTTTTTCTTTTTTTTTTTCCAATCTCGCCTGGTCTCTGTTTTAGGTTCCACAAAGATGGGGTTCACATTCTCAAAGTTACTATGTAACCAAAGAGTTTAAAAATTTTTAAAGCACACAAAAGAATTTAATTCAAAAAATAAATGAACAACTGGAGTGATGAACACAAAATCAAATGAGCAGATCCCCTTTGCTTCTCATTGAGAGATGCTGATGGGAGCTGCCTGGCAAGCCTAGGGCATGGAGGGTTGAGGAAGAGTTAGAAACAGGGTAGGAAAAGGGGACTGGGTGGAAAGGAAGGTACACTTAGAGGTTAACAGGTTTTCCTGGCTGGGCAAGAGCTAAATCAACAGCTAGAGGTTCTGGGTTCACCCATGAAATGGAACCCTGACAAATAAATAGAATGTGACAAATACCTTAAGTAACATAAATCCCAGGAGATGTAAGAAAGACTTGCTTGTGAGAGGTAAACCCAATCAAGATTATAAACTGGACTTTTTACAGTAAATATATACCCCCCTTAGATAAAGATTGCAGGTACTTTTTAATGAAATAATGAATGATTTTTACTTACTAACTGAGATAGTAGTGGTGGAAGTGAATGATATAAACTGAAGAAAAGATCCAATGTTTCTGGTTCCAGGAAAACTGGAAAAAAAAATTTTTTTTCTAATACCATTACTTCCAATCAGTGATCTTAATGTAATCAGTAAGACATTCATTATCACACAAACAAGAACTCCAAGACCTCTGCATGTGGCCACTCTTATCAGTTAGGCTTAATTCCTTTTTAATTCCTAGCTACCTTCCTTTGAAAGATGAAATAATACAGATAGAAACTAATTAGCTAAAATGTTCCTTATTTCTATGTAGCATCTACAGTTCTTACTGAATCTTCTTACCATTTTCATTTGTATTAAAGTACCATAAGCATTTAAAAATTCAAACAGTATCAAAAAGTAAACACTATTAAAAAAATGTATAATAAAAAAGAGCTGTACCCTACCCCATTCCAAGTACCTTTCAACTCTTATCTACACTTACATACATATTTCCAAATAACATGCTATATGACTATTTCTTTGTTTTACCTTAAACATCAAATGAATTTCTGATATACCACGAGGCTTTAGTACGTACCACAATCTGTCCTCTCTCAAAATCCATCCACTATTTTAACAATTTAAGATTAAATCAATTCTAAGTGTTTACATTTATTATGGCTATGTAAGTAATGTTAACAGCTGAGCCAAGGAGGACAATATGATCATAGTACATTTCTAACACTCTCTGAATCTAATCATAGCATGTTTTCTGTGTTTAGTTGTCTATCTGTCACTAATTCTTTCCAAATGCTCTGACAGATTTGTAAAATGTTCTTCACACCATTTTCCACATTATCAATAGCATCAAATAACCTATAATTTCCATTTCTCCCTCTCACCTCCTAAAGCCTTCAACTTGAGACTGATTGTTCCTAAATTTGTTATATAATGATCTTCTTTTTATGTGTCTGTTCATTGCCATTTTGTGTTGAACCTCCCTTTTCACAAACCCCTTATCTTCCATGGTTTTTGTAACAAGTAACTTTCTGAGAGCAAGCACATAAAGGGATAAATTCCAGGAGGATGGGCATATCTGAAAATGTCTTAATTCTACTTTATGCTTGATAATTTCAGTCTAGTTTGGAAATTATTTCCCTTCAGAAGTTTGGGGATACTACTGCATTGTCTTCTAGCTTCCAGTGCTGATGCTGAACAGTCTAATACCATTCTTGACCCCAATCCTTTGTAGGTGACTTACTTCTCCTTTCTGGTAGATTTTAGGATCTTCCTCTTATCATTATTACTCTGAAGCGATTATGATTATGAAGCTTAGTATTTATTTTTTTCATTCATTACTATGTGCACTTGATGGGATCTTTCAATCTGAAATTTTATGTCTCGGGGCTGAGAAAGTATTATTTGTTTGCAAATTTTCTTCTTTTTCTATCCTCTTTCTCAAACTCCTGGTAGTCAGATGCCAGCTCTCCTAATTTCATGCTTTAATATTCTTGTATTTTCTTTCTCCTATCAAATCTCTTCTTGCTTTTTTATTCTACTTTCTGGGACATTTCCTTAACTTTACCTTCCAACTCTTTTATTAAATGTTTCATTTGGCAACTGTCTTTTATATTTGGAACACTCTGAACTTTTATTTTAAAACAATATCTTATTCTGGGACACCTGTGTGGCCCAGCTGATTAAGCGTCTGACATGATTTTGGCTCAGATCATGATCTCAGTGTCATGAGATCGAGCCCCATGTAGGGCTCCACGCTTGGTGGGGCGTCTGCTTGAGATTTTCTCTTCTCCTTCTCCCTTTACCCCGCCCCACCACGAGCTCGTTCTCTATCTCTCAAATAAATAAATGAATCTTAAAAAACAAAACAAAACAATATCCTATTCTTGTTTCAGGGATGTGTTACCTTTTCTTATCTCCCTGGCGATATTAACTATACTTTTTTGAAGATTACTTCTACTTTTCACTTTGTTTCTACCAAACTATCCTTTAAAAAAAAAAAAAAAAAGCTTTCTGAGATAATTATACATGCATATGCAGTTGCAAGAAATAATACAGAGACCCCATGCACCCATTACTTAGTTTCCTCCAATGGTAAATTCTTGCAAAACTACAGTACAATATCACAATCAGGAAATCACACTGATACAATCCATCAATCTTATTCATATTTCCCATTTTTACATGCACTCAGGTGTATGTATGGGTGTGTGTCTGTGTGCGTGCCTGTGTAGTCTGTGTAATTTTTATTACATGTGTTGGCTCATGTATTCATCATGATACTAAGAATACTAAGTCCCTTTTAATTGTTTGTTTTAACCTCTGATTTCTATATTAGAAGTTTTCACAAACTCTGTGGTATTTCCCTACTATATCTGATACCCCTAAATACCCAGTTTAATTTCTCAAAGACAAAAAGGTCTGGTATTGGGAAGTAAGAGGGAAGGGCACACAGGGAAGAGAAGAGAAAAGGCACAGGTGGTAGTTGCACAGGTGTCAGAGAAGATCCTGGGGACTTTGGGCAGAATACAGACTTTTTTACCAGGCCCTTTCAGCCCTATTCCTCACCTCACCTCTGACTGCAGGAATACCCCAGTGCCATCATCTTTCTGAAATGTGTGAGAGCAAATCAGACTGCTTTTTTTCTTGGTATCCTTCTCTGTAAGAAAGTAAGCTGCAATTCTGCTCTGCTAAGTCATTTACTCTAATTCATTCTCTTTCTAACTTTGAAAAGTATGTTTTCTCTCTCAGTGTTACATCCTCTCCCACTCTATTTATCTGAAACTTTCAAAACAGAACTCTTCATTTTCCCTCCCAAACCTGTTTTCCCCCTCTCTAGAGCTATCTTTCCTATTTTCCAATATCAAAATATGGAAGCTCCCACGATATGAAGGAAAGCAGATTTCAATACTAGGTATCAGTAGCTACCTCGTGTTACAAATCTTTTTTAATTTCTTGATTACCTAGCAAAAACTAGACGTAACTGCACATATGGCAACCGTATTAATTTTGTGCCTTTTACTCTGACCATCCCTCACACTAAACTTTCTTCTTACTTGTTCTCCAGGTTGTTGGAATCTGCACTGTGCAAAGATCATCTGCAGATTCGTCTGCTGAACTGCCAATGAAGTCAAAGTTAAGGCAGTTGAGGACCAGTTTCAAGACCTGCATTACTAGATTTTGTTGACCTTCATCCTGAAGATTTAAAGGTTTGGCCAACACCTGAAAAAAGTTGAGAGTCAAATAAAACATTATGAAATATGTCAATAAGCAAATTTTCACTTCACTAATTTATTCTTCAATGTTAAATTAGAATTAGGAAGTTTGCCAAGTTATGTTGTTGTATATATTAGAAAAAGTTGTAAAATCACTATCAACAAAAATCTACAATAGCCTATTTTCAAAATTTATTTTCTAAAATGAGAATAAGACCTTTGACACTTAACTGCAAATTATAGGTCATCTTCTAAAGTTAAAAAAAGTAACTTTAGGACAAATACTTTACTCAGCACAAATGTGTAAATCTATTGGATTTATTAGCTCAAAGGCTGCTTAGAACAAGCTGAAAATATAATACTCTTCAAGTGGGGGAACTTTACGTGTAAATGATCCACATTCAGTTAACAAAGGTTGTCAGAGCTGTCTGAATGAAGGAGGACACTCACAAACTTCTAGAGAACAATCCTGACCACACACCCTCTCCGCCCACCACAAAATGTCCATTCTGACACAATCAGAATAGATTACTACCTCCTAAAGACATATTGTGAAATATCTGTGGAGGAAGTGATATGAAGTTTGGGATTCTGCTTCAAGAATAACACAAAAAGAAAGCTGTTTGAAAAGTACAGAGATGAAAAGAGACTGGTCACGAGTTGTTACTGCTTATCTGGTTGATGGGTCCAAGGGACTTCATTATACTCTTCCACCATCTTTTGCATATGTTAAAATTTTCCATACAAAAGGAAAATTTAAAAAATAATAGAGGGTCTTTATTGGCCTTAACTTGGCCTACTGCGGCAGTTACCCCGTTACTAACTATACCAGAGAACTGAAATAATTAGAAACTGGTACTTAGTGGAACATACTTTAGGAAATGCTATACTACACCAATTAAAAAGCTTGAACAGCATGATGGAATCCCTATATTACAAGCAAACACAATATAATTATTAATTGTATTATCCCTAATGTTCAATAGGGCACCAAGTAGCAAATGAGAAAATAATATTTCCCAAAGAAATTATTAAAGTTAACTGTCTTGGCTCACCTATGAATAAATATCGATAATTGATGAATTAGGAAAACTTACTGTCATTTCATTGTTCATCTGCACCTCATTAAAATATAGGCAACTAAAATAAAGAAACTAAGTCTCAATTAGCTTCTGTAATAAATAATCTATAGTAGTAGCAGGAAGGCAACGAAACTACTACTTAAAGATGAGTTACTGAACTCCCTTTGGATTTTGTTTTATTATATCTCTGGTAAATAAAAGTGAATTTTTTGGAACCTCTTACAGACTTGTGGAAATCTACTGTACTTAAATTAAGACTGTGCACAATAACTCTTTAAAAGGCAGAATGGGGGTTGGAGAAGGGGGATTTATTTGAAATTATTTTGAAACTTAAATTTCCTAAATACTCTAAGTAGGATACTGAATTATTAAATAACTTACCTCTTTTAGAAGAGAGCATGCTAGCACTAAAATGTCTTTGAGAGAACTGTCACGAAATGAGGTAGCTATTTTCCTGTGTTTTGCTGAAGGTCTAGAATAATCAACCTAAAAAGATCAAGAAGAATTTATTTAACCAGACTTAGCAAAGAGCAAAGCAAAAATTTACTAAGAAAAGGAATGGAAATAACGATTAAAGAAGCATCAAGTACAGAGTTAAGCGAGCTTTTAAAAATCTACTGGGTAAGTGCCTTGCTTAATGTTACTCAAAGAGTTAATGTCAGACCCACTGGCAGAACCCAAGTTTCTGGACTGGTTCAATTCACTGCTCTAACTATACCAATCCCAAAATTAAAAACCAGAATTGATCATACTTTCAGAGGCAATATGAACACAGATTATAAAATCATAGATGGATCCTAAGACTATCAACTCCTGTACCATGTACCATTTCACATTAGGCAATTAACAATTTCCCTGTTCTTCCTCCTGTAAAACAAGAATCCCTAAGATAATCTTCAAATTCTAACTCTCTGTGAATCAGTTAATAATCAATTACAGAAAAATTCTTCATACAAAAGTAGTATTTCTATATATACCAGCAATTTCATTGGTTCACATATCCTTGGTGTTTTAAAAAGAAACCAAGGCAGAAATAATAAACAACCAGAAATCTTATTATATAAGCAATAGTACATTCCCTGATTATTTATTAGTTATTGATAACTGTTAAGAATAAATTTATGAAGAGTAGTTCTTGAGCCTCTAATCTAAAATGTGATATGGTCAAAACTATACTATTAATGCCATTAATAGTTCCATTTATCAACAGCAAACAGCAAACAAAGCTGAGGTCTGATACCCAAATGACTATTAACACCATGGGCTACAGTCGCTACCGCATTCCTTTTGCTCTTTTGTTAATGCTTATATATTTAAAAAAAAGCAGTGAGTTCAAAATTGATTATCTGATATTTCCTAAGCTCCATCATACAATTTAGACTATACTTAAATGTCGCATTTACTTACAGAAACATGAAACATAACAGAAGTGATTACAGAAAGTAGTTACTGGAATCTGTAACCAATATGTAAGATTCAAATTAGCATTTCCAGCATTCTTCCCTTCTTTTAAATCAGACTTCAGTCTATCTCTCTTACAGTATCTCCCTCAATATATAAAAACTTTTCCTTAATACAAATTAGTAATAGCATACAGGATTGCAATTGTGATTTATGAAGTACTTATCACATATCATTTCACTTACTTCTAAAATAACCCGTGAGAAATATATTACCCTCTTCTTACATATAAAAATTAAAGTTTATAGGCATACGATCTTAGACCAGCCTCTCATTACTACCCCATCTATAACACGAACAGAAGAACCTCTTACGGAGCACTTGTACATACTAGGCCCTGAGCTAGTAGCTTATCTAATCTTAATAAGATCCTGGAAGGTGTCATTCTCACTTTACAGACAGTTAAGTCTGTAAGTTTAAAGACGTTCAAAAGTTTGTCCAAAGTAGTAAGCAATGGAGCTAAAATACAAATCCAGGTCTTATTTCAGTTATCTTCAAGGCCTACCTGCTTATTTTACTTGTTTTACTCATTGATATCCAGTTTTTTGAGAAGAGGAACCGTGCATCTATTGTCTACTGTACATCTATGCCTCTATAATGTAGATAAAAGATATTTTACTTCTTGATGATTTTATATTGAATATCCTCCAGGAACAGTAGAAACAATAGACTTGGCTTTGAAAAAAACAAGATAGCATATAATCCTCTTTCAGGAAACCTCAAGTTCAGATGTTTTTCTTAAAAAATACATCTTGTTATTGACATTACATGAATTTACCTGGCTCACATTTAACAATGATAGTATTCGATTTTCACTATGCATTGTAGATCTCCCTGCTGCCTGGCTCAGAAGTACTTACCAAATGCTTGTTCCAACAATAAATGCCATAAAATTAGACTAAGTAAAATGTGTCCACAAAAGCCATATACTTTTTACCATACAAACCAAAATCACACTTCAGACCTTGAAGCTTTTTTCAAAAGCACTTGGTTATATACAAGATAAGCCTAGAACATCTTGTGCCAAAAAGTAGGAAAATATTCAAAGACCGGTGAGTGTGGACATGGAAGCTAGCCTGAAAGGGTTCCTACTGGCCAAATCTGGCAAAATGTGAGCATCAAAATATAACATTAGTAACAAATTATAATCTATTAAATAAAATAAGAAGTCAGCAATCCATACTGATAGAATAAATAAATAATAAATAAATTGAAAGTCTGATGAGGAATGGGTATTTTTAGTCTTAAATAGTCATTATTTACAAAGGAGAAAAAATAAATCTACAATTAGAGAAGCCTGGTGGAGACCATCTTCACCAAGTAACCAAAGTAAACATCATTAGTAATGTAACAAATCAAATCATGTGCTTCCTGACGGGAGACAATGAGAAAACCACAGTATCATTTCTGTGATATTCCTAACCAATATGCATAATCTGAATCTAATAATAAAGAAACATCAGACAATCCCAAATTGACGGACATTTCACAAAACTGGCCTGTAATTTTCACAAATGTTAAGGTCATGAAAAATGAGGGAAAGATTGAGGAATTTTTCCAGATCGATGGAGACTAATAAAACGTGTCAAATAAATGAGACGCACAATTCTAAACTGGTTCCTTTCTGGGACAAATGGATACTGGTAAACATCCATAAGGCAAGAAATCTTTACATAACTCTAGAGTGGAGGAGTCAGAGAGTGAGGTCTGTGATAAATTAAGGGATCACTTTAAATTTAAGAAAACCATCCAATAAAACTAGAAACATTCTCTAATTCCTGACTGAACACAAGTTGGAAACACTTATTTTGGGTGATTTTTTTTATCACAGGAACTATACTGACACTCCAAAGGGAGTTGGCAAGTAGTCCAGGGTATGCAAGCTCTTCATGTTTATACACACACACACACACACACACATACACACAAATGCAGGCTACTCAACATGACAACAGTTTTAAAATATAAACAGTGCCTTTATGCCTTTACTTCAAACACTGTCCCACACAGAACCCAACTTCTGCTTTTGTTCTGTTTAGAACCCTGATAAGTACAAAAGTGACAGAAACAGGTGACAACGTGCTCAGCTGCTGAGCTCATAAAGGCACTGTTTGGGGGAAGCATAGCTTCTGGAAACTCTCCTTGTACAGAGCGAAAATCCATGCTAGCAAGTGGCCAAGTGCCAAGGGGCCTGTTCTTTGAGGAGTCCTGCTGTGTACTCATTGTTGAGAATCCATTCACCAAACTGCTTGTGCTTTATTATTTGTAAGCAAATACAGGTTTGTTTCTCTTCCTATAATTTATTTCTAATGGTTAGCCTATTAGGATAAAAGGACAATTCACCAATTTCCATGGAGCAAGGACCATGTCTAATTCCCTCTTCCTTGCAGTACTTTACACTATTGCTGTTACTTTCAATAACAATAAGTGTTCCAATACCCAATTATCCCACCAATAAAATACACAAAAGACTTGATTATTCAGTTTTATGCCACACAAACATTTTATATGAAAGAATTCAGCATTACTTAGCAAACTCCCGTCACTATTAGATGGAAGGCTTACCAGGTTCATTTCCTGAGTCAACTCGGAAAGGATTATTACTCCTATTATGCAGTGCTCCACAGTACCCTATGGAGAAAACAACCAAGTGTACCCTAAGTAGAGACATATAATTGGTTCTTGAGGTGTAAACAAATAATTAAATAAATACTGAACCATCACATATTCTTAGTAATGTATCTACTAAAATATGTGGAAAAATCATTATGAGGTCTACAAAAATAATGTCAAGTTCATTTTTTGAAGGATAAATTTAGGTACACACAGAGTGGCGTGGGAAAAAAGCTCACCTAACTTAGAACTGCACAATACTCTACCAAATGTTTACAGCACCTAGGACTTATAATAAACTAAACCATAAAATACAAGAGTTGAATACTTTTCATGAGACTATGCATAAGACTGAACAAAAAATGCTTTTTAGTTCTATAAATTTGCTTGAAGGCTACTGAGATAGCTGAACTCAATAATGAATAAACTGTTTAGGAACAAATCTAAATCCCTCAATCTAATTATCACATAAGATCACTTAGGCCCTTTTAATATTATTTAATAGTGCATGTGTATACATTTATTATGATATCTAAAATAAAGGCATCTAAAGTGCCCAATGCACCAGGGTAAATAAATACATGACTATCAATATGGTATACAGTTTCATAGCCTCTATAATGTTTTAATTTAATCTCAAAAACTTCCTTTAACTCAAAATTCAGATTTTACATTCACCGTTACTAACAAATCACCCTACTGCAAAATCACACTAGAAGTATAAAAATTAAAAATGTAACATCCAGGGGTGCCTGGGTAGCTCAGTCAGTCAGTTGAGTGTCCGACTCTTGATTTCAGCTCAGGTCATGATCTCAGGGTCATAAGATAGAGCCCCACGTCAGGCTCAGTGCTCAGCACAGTCTCCCTGAGATTCTCTCTCTCCCTCTGCCCCTCCCTCTCCCCCACCCACACGCTCACACTCTCTCTCTCTCACATAAATAAATCTTTTAAAAAAATAAAGTAACATTCAATTATAGTGTAATCATAAAAAAAACACTAATAGAGATTACAAATTTTTCATGTCTTAATTTTATAGTGGGTCATTTCTTCTATTTTTATCTTAGGATAAAAAAATAAACAAAGACACATCCCATAATTTTTGCATTTTAATTCTTTATGGCCATTCTCAAAAATCTCAACTGTTTGAACTGAGCTACAGATTTCCTGTTACTGAAGCATCATCCATCCTCTGAGTACACCAGATCAATGCTCCTCAAAGTGCTGCTCCCTGACCACCTGCTGGTCATCTGCAAACTCAATGCTAATCTCAGAATGGATTGGTACAGGCTCATGACGGAGGAGATAAAAGAGTTTGCACAAGACTATAAGCCAGCTAAGTCCCTACTAAGTACACTTAGTTCAGCTGGCATTTTTTTCATAGCAAGCCTTCCTCGGTGAAGGAAGCACCACGTTGATTTACATTCTGCTCCTTATCTTGTTGTGAATCAGTAAATTGGATAGCACTGCCATGGAGGACAGGAGGCTCTCCTGGGTATGTATGTAGAAAGGAAGCCCATCAGTGTTTGTAGTGTGGCAGCAGTAAGACTGCAATAACAGAGAAAAGAAGATGTACAAAACTTCAGGCCATTAAAGATTTAGCAAATTTAAAATAATTTTTAGTACAAAATTCACAGAAGCTGCTAATACCCAAAAAGAACCATGTGAGACTATATTTGAGTACTTAAACATTAAAGTCAGTTGCCTTTCTCATGATTCAAAGTTAGGTTAAGTCATACTCAGAAAACAAGTGCTTATTTTTGTTGATACTTTGACACACTTTGAAGACAATACATTTTGTTTCTTCTGGTTTCACTAAAGCTCAACTTAAGTTCAACTTACCAGTCCCTGGAAAGAGAGCTTAAGAAATGTTAACCAACAAGAATGACTTCATTTCATTCCGTTTTCAACCTTAATTTTATTTTTAAAAAAACTCTGAAGTCTATTCTTGCCTTCACTAATGATTCTTGATGAGCTGTGTGTGATCTTAGTAAATGACAGAGAGGGCTGCTATTTTGTTAGCCAAACTCTGGAGTGAGGAAGTCATTTGTCTCTGTATAAACTCTCCCACCACCCCAGGGCTGCTCTCCTCAGGGCTAAAAATACGTTTATTCCTTATGAAGTTTTAGATGACCAAGTATTTGTTAGCCAGGGTTTTAACAATATGAATAAAAGAGAAGCAGCATAGTCTAGTGTTTCATATCCTGAGGTTTCTAGAATTGCACTACATGGTAGAGTTACATCTTACACAGGGATTTGCTGCATAAGAGATAAAATCTCAGAAAGTCCAAATTGCCTCTAACTGCCAATAAACCAATACTGAACAATCTCTCAACCCAAACTGCCAGTTTTTCCTCAAAAACTGTAAGAGATCACTGCTTCAACAGCACAGCACCAGCTAAAGTGCTTTTTTTTGCAATTAGGGATAACGTCCATACGAAAAAATATGTATCTTTAAATATCTGAATCACACTGAGCAAGGCAGGATGGTCATCCTAAGAGGCATGCAGAGACTGGAAATAGCAGATTTCAGTTTGCCACATCATACCTCAGGACACAGAATATTCTGTAGAATGGCAAGTGGAATCACCAGTTCAATGTATATGACTGTTCTCTTGCTTATTTTTCTTATTTTTTTGCAGTTTAAATGCCTGAATTTGCATAGGTTAAATGTGCATATGCTATAACTTGAATCATTTAAGTTAAAAATATCCCTGAGAAACTAGCATTGTCAACATGGTCTAATGCAACAGTTAAATATATGTATCTCTTAAGTTAGAAAACTTGCTGAAGTGCTTGATCTATGCTTTACTAGGTCACTGTGCAACTTTATGCAATTCAGCTAACTTTCCCCTAAGCCTCAGTTTTCTCATTTGCAAATGAGATTCACTTCACAGAGATGTAATGAGCATTACATCACATAGTACATGAAAAATATTAGATCCATTTTGTATATATGTAGTACATAGACATGCATGTTAGAAAGGACAGAATATGTATTTTTTGAAATTTTCTAATTTTTGTGTATTTTCTAACATTTTAATGTTCATTCTTCTGGTTTGGAACTTTTATAATGGCATGATGTTCATTTATTGGCAATAAAAAATAAAGGGCCCAGAGGATAAACAATAAGTCATAATTAATATGGTACTGGTAGTCACAGAACAAACCATACAGCTTTAAGAAAAGTTTTCTAAGCCAAAAAAAAAAACCAACTAGTGATGTTCTAATAATGTAATAATTCCTTCTTACCTGAAGGAACTTCTTCACATCAGCAATAATTTCTCTGAAGACAAACTGGTCTTTCTGAACCTCAAACCATCCCAGCTTAGTGATTTTAGCAATGACTTGAATTAGAGCTTGGATAACAAAGGGTACCAGCTTGGGTTGTGACGCCACATAATTAAGAATGTAGTTTCCTGTAAGAAAATATTCTGTGATCATTTGAACTTTTCAGTAACATAATGTGAATCATGTGAAGAAAAACAGTTGGTAATTACACATTTTTTGACAAAAAGTTAATCCCTTTCTCTAAGATATATACTTATTTAAATAGTCATTTCTGCTACAAGGCTTATTGGGAAAAAAGAAATTTGCTCCAATTCAATTTATATATTAGGGGATAATTTGAGTATAATGAGAATGTCAATTTTGTTTTTGCATGATTTCATGTAGAAAAAACTGCCATGTGAATACAGAAAACTGCAACCAGGCCAAATGAAGCAAACCATATACAAGATGCATAGACCTCAAACACCTAGTAACTATCTCAGGTTCACCTTATGTGTTATCAGCCTCACGCATCCTTATCTGGTTTTATACTTTTCCAAACTATTTCAGATCACCTTCCTTCCATCACTTCATTATAACTCACAAACTGCAACCCTTCTGAAGTCTACACCCAAAAACACAATTCAGGTCTTCAAGATTAAATGCTTATTTATTCTACTATTTAAGTATTTCTTAACCATTTAAAATGTGTAAAATTCTACTAAACCTTTTATTAGATTTTTTTTTAATGTGTCACTGACGAAGTGTCTGAGTTTTATTTCCATATCCCATTTCTCTCATGAGCCCTATGATTTTATTGCATAACAATGCACAGCACAGTCACTTCTAAGGATGCATATATCTTATTATAGCAAAACTGTATGCTATTTGAGAGGGAGAGAGACAGAGAGGAAAGGAGAGGGAGTACAGGTAGGGTGAGGGGCAGAGGGAGAAGGAGACTCCCCGCTGAGCAAGGCTCCATCCCAGGGACCTGGGATCATTACCGGAGCCAAAGGCAGATGCTTAACCAACTGACCCACCCAGGCTCCCGAAATTAAATCTTTTTTAAAAAGCACAGATTTTCCTAGAATTAAGATAAATCTGAAAAAGGTTTCTCCTATGGATTACAGTAATATGGATGTCCTAAGCTTCATTACTTGTAACATTTTATTTCAATAATGAAGATTAAGAAGATGACACTGCTTCTAGAATATATAAGAAAATCTGGTTTATTTACTTCAATTATTTTTACTATCTTGAAAAATTTTAACTTGGAGGGGATGTGGGAATCTGTATGTGGGTAATGATAACCTAGGAGGGTAATCTCAAAATAATAAAACAACCAAATGGGAAATAAACCAAGTTTGACATTTAAGGTGTTTATCAATAAACACACCTTCCCAGACTGCCCAAGTAAAGACACTGGCTAATGAGTTTATTATCTAAGGCAGAAAAAAATTTAATAGACTATATTTTTATTTTAGCTGATTGCTTTACATAAAATACTCTCATGTTAAGCTTTTTTACATGACTTCTAATATTTTTCCAGTTTAGTAAGTATCTATGATAAGGATCAAGTAAAACAATACCCATCTCATCATCACCAGGCCAAGATAACAGAGAAAAACCATACCAAGAAGAAAATGAAATGCTCAAGACGACACTCAGGAGAATGAAATAAAACAGCTAAAAACACTCCCAGACAGAAGTTAACAGAAAGTTGGAAAGCTACTCACTAGAGGCTCTTCGAGTGTTGAACCCTGTGTAACAGTACTATTTAGCATTTACGATGCTTGTTAGAAGTGCTTCCCAGCAAATTCCTTATGTGGCTCTCATAGCAATGTGAAGATACTGCTTTTATACTTTTATTACTATTATCTTGTTTCTTAGGTAAAAGGTCAAAGAAGTGAAATAACTTATCAGAGTGGCCAAATTGGGCCTAAGTCGGGTTGTTTTGGTTTAAGTTTTTGTTTGTTTGTTGCTTCCAAATACTGGCCAAACCATATGTCTTAGTAGTTATGAGTAACTCAAAACTCTAAGTCCAAACTTGCAGACAGTCTTTGGGAGTTTACCATCATTAGACTGATGTTTTTGGTATTATACATTATGGGATTTAATATTAAATATTTTTTAAACATTTTTTTTTTACAGATTTTTATTTATTACAGAATGAGAGAGAGAGAGAGAGAAAGCACATGAGATGGGGGGAGGGTCAGAGGGAGAAGCAGACTCCCTGCTGAGCAGGGAGCCCGATGCGGGACTCAATCCAGGGACTCCAGGATCATGACCTGAGCCGAAGGCAGTCGCTTAACCAACTGAGCCACCCAGGCGCCCCAATATTAAATACTTTTTAACTGATTTCAGGTAAAAAAAAATATGCCACAAAATCTGTAAGAAAACACACAAGAATCTAAAAGAAAAGGGGAAAGATTCAATCTCTACTTTGGTCCCCAAGGCTAGTATGTTATTTGAGAAAAAAGTGAAGGTAAATAACCTCAGTATTTAACTAAAAAATTTTTTGATGGAAATAACTCCCAAATTCTAAGGAAAAATTTGAGCTATAAGCTATGCCCAGAGATTAGCTTAGGAAATATTTGAAAAGAAAGAACACATGGGACAAAAGAAACTATCACAAGAAGATCAAGGTAAGACCTATGAAGTGAGGATGTGGAGAACCTAGAACCTTCATGCATTGCTGGTGAGAATGCAAAGTGGTATAGGCACTTTGGAACTCAGTTTGGTGGTGGTTTGTTTTTTTTTAAGATTTTATTTACTTATTTATTTATTTGCCAGAGAGACAGAGAGAGAGAGCATAAGCAGGGGGAATGGGAGAGGGAGAAGCAGGCTGCCCACTGAGCAGGGAGTCTGACATGGGGCTCAATCCCAGGACCCTGAGATCATGACCCGAGCCAAAGGCAGACACTTAACCAACTGAGCCACCCAGGCGCCCCTGGTGGCTCTTTAAAAGTTAAGCATAAACTTACTTATGACCCAGCAATTCCACTTCTAGGTATCTACCAAAAAGAAAAGAAAACATATGTCCACACAAAGACTTGTGTGTCAGTGTTCACTATAACATTATTCATTGTGGCCAAAAAGGAGAAATAACCCAAATATCCATCAAGTAGTGAATGGATAACAAAATGTCATATATCTATACAACAGAATATTACTCTACAATAAAAAGGAACAAAATATTGATATATGCTACAACATTTTGCTAAGTGAAAGAAGCCAGATGCAAAAAGCTACATATGGTGTGATTGTATTTATATGAAATATCTACTAAAGGTGAATCTATAGAGGCAGAAAGCATCCTAGTGGTTGGCTGTATAGGAGCAGGACTAACTAAATAAGCATGAGGGATCTTTTGGGGGTGACAGAAATGTTCCAACATTGAATTGTGATGATGTTCACATAACACTGTAAATTTACTAAAAATCATTAATTGTACACTTCAAACTTTAAAACTTTATGGTATATAAATTACATCTCAAGCTGTTTGAAGGGAAGGAAGGAAAGAAGGAGGGAAGGAAGGAGGACTGACTAATTTATATAGGTAATTAAACTTAAGCTACACTTTCATTTGAATAGATGACCAGAGAAACAAGATTAAAAAGGCACCAAGGCAGAAATAACACGGCATGAGGGGAAGACCTTCTGGCACAACTACTAGGCTAGTACCAATGAACATACATGGTTACAAGAATGGTCCATCAATTACAAGCTCATAAAGGGACTTGAATACTAAGCTGAGGAAATGGTATTTAACTCATGAGCAATAGTAAGCCACTGCTAATTATACTAATAAGAGTAGAAAATAGTGTGGTGAATACAGAGAACTGGCAATAGAGTTAATGTTGGAAAATAATGAGATATGTAGTCTGGGACCACATCATGAAAAACTGAGGATTTTGAGGTGATGTAAAGGCAATGTGACTGTTGAAGCAATTACTCACATTTTCCACTTTAACTGACACACCAATTATTCTACTGACACATCAGATATGTCATGACAAACATTCTAATCTACTTGCAGAAATAAGACCAGTAGGTTAAACCAAAGAAACTCATAAAGGGAACACATCATTTGTTGCTTGGAATTGTTTTCTAAGTTTCTACTTTTCTTTTTTCCAAATTTCCTTTAAAGCATGTTCCTCTTTTTATTTAAGTATTTATTTAAAAAAATAAGTCAAATAGACCATCTGACAATAGGCCTATATCTTTTAAATAAACTGAATCAGTAATTATTCTGCACCAGGCCCTGATGGGTTCACTGGTGGGTCCTACCAACATTTAAGGAAGAAATTATATCAATTATCTTCAATCTCTTCCAGAAGACAGAAGCAAGAGAATTCCTTCTAACCAACTCTATGAGGCCAGCACTATCCTAATAACAAAACCAGACAAAGATGTTATTAAGAAAAGAAACTACAGACCAATATCTCTCATCAACATAAAGAAAAGTCCTCAACAAATTATTAGCACATTGAATCCAACAATGCATAAAAAGAATTATATACCCCAACCAAGTGGGATTTCTCCCAGGTTATGCAAGTCTAGTTCAACATTTGAAAATCAATTAATGTTATCAAGAGAGGAAAGAAGAAAAATCACATGATCATATTATTAGATGCAGAAAAAGCATTTAACAAAATCCAATGGCCATTTATAATAAAAACTCTCAGCAGACTAGGAACAGAGGGGAACTTTCTCAACTTGAAAAAGAATGTTACAAAAAACCTAAAGCTGATGGATGAAACCAAAGAACTAAATAAATGGAGAGAGATTCCATGTTCATGGGTAAGACGGCTCAACACTGTCAAGCTGTCGGTTCTTCCCAACCTGATCTGTAGATTCAACACAATCCAAATCAAAATCCCAGTAAGTTATTTTGTAAACATTTACAAGCTTACTCTAAAGTTTACATAGAGAGGCAAATGACCTAGAATACCCACCACAATACTGAAGGAGAAGAACAAAGCTGGAGGTCTGACACCACCCAGCTTCAAGATTTATTATAAAGCTACAGCACTCAAGACAGTGCGGTACTGGTGAAAGAACAAATAGGTCAATGGAACAGAGCAAAGAGCCCAGAAAAAGACACACATGAATACAGTCAACTAATCTTTGACAAAGGGACAAAGGCAAAAAAGAATGAAGACAGTGTTTTCAACAAATGGTGCCAGAACACCTCGACACCCACACGCAAATAAACGAATCTAGACACAGACCTTACACTCTTCACAAAAATCAACTCGAAATGGATCGCAGTCCTAAATGTAAAGCACAAAACTATAAAAACTCCTAGAAGACAACATAGGAAAAAAACCTAGATCATCTTGGGTTTGCAGTGACTTTTTGCACACAACAACAAAGGCACACTCCATGAAAAAAACAGTGATAATTTGGACTCAGTTAAAATTTAAAACTTCTGCTCTGGGACGCCTGGGTGGCTCAGTTGGTTGGGCGACTGCCTTCGGCTCAGGTCATGATCCTGGAGTCCCTGGATCGAGTCCTGCATCGGGCTCCCTGCTCAGCGGGGAGTCTGCTTCTCCCTCTGACCCTCCCCCCTCTCATGTGCTCTCTCATTCTCTCTCTCTCAAATAAATAAAATCTTTAAATAAATAAATAAATAAATAAAACTTCTGCTCTGGGAGAAACATCAAGAGAATGAGAAGACAAGCCACAGACTGGAAGAAAAATCTTTGCAAAAGACTAATCTGATAAAGGACTGCTATCTAAAATAAACAAAAACTTAAAACTCAACAGTAAGAAAACAATCTGTTTTAAAAATGGGCAAAAGACTTAGACACATCATCAAAGAAAATATACAGATGGTAAATAAACGAATGAAAAGATATTCAATCATATGTCATCAGGGAACTGCAAATTCAAACAGTAAGATACTACTACACACCTACTAGAACAGCCCAAATTCAAAACATTGAAAATACCAAATGTTAGCAATAACGTGGAGCAACAGGAACTCCCATTCATTGCAGATGGGAATGCAAAATGGTACAGCCACTCTGGAAGGCAGCATGATGATTCTTTACAGAATTAAACACACTCTTAACATACAATCTAGCAATCACTCTCCTTAGTATTTACCCAAAGGAGTTGAACTTATGTCCACACAAAAATCTGCTTTAAGCTTTATTCATAATTGCCAAAATGTGGAAGAAATCAAGTAGGTGAATGAATAAATTGCAGTACATCCAGACAATAGCATATCATTTAGTGCTAAAAAGAAACAAGCTATCAAGCCGTGAAAAGACATGGGAGAAGGTTAAATGCATATTACTAAGTAAAAGAAGCCAATCTGAAAAGGCTACACATTGTATGAGTCCAACTACATGACATTCTGGAAAAGGCAAAACTACGCAAACAGTAAAAAAAATCAATGGTTGTCAGAGGTTAGAGGGGAGGGAGGGATGAATAGGTGGCACACAGAGGATTTTTGGGGGGCAGTGAAACTATTCTGTAGACTATTATAATGGGGGATATATGTCCTTATACATTTATGCAACCCACAGAATGCATAATACCAACAGTGAACCCTAATATAAACTATGGACTTTGGGTAATGATCATGTGTCAAGGTAGGTTCATCAATTATATCTTATGTACCTCTGGTGCAGGACACTAATAATGGAGGAGGCTATACATGTGTGGGGGACAGAGGGTATGAGAACTCTACTTTCTGCTCAATTTTAAAACTGCTCTAAAAAAATAAAATCTATTTAAAGTGTGTGTGTGTATGTGTGTGTGTGTGTGTGTGTGTTTTACATAAGTAAGTCAAATAAAATCACGATGTTTTATGTGTTAGTTTTATAATGTTTGGACTCTAATTTTTAAAACTGTAAATTTGTTTTGCTTCCTTAAGCACACAAGTCCATGAACACATGGATAAATCCTCCTCTAGGCTTTCTGCAGTCTATGATTCTGGGTCCTTAAAGAAAAGTATTAGTCAAATATATGAGGCAAATGACATGTCATTGTGTGATTTGATTGTTCAAAAATTGGGCTTAAAATCCATCATACATATACATTTTAATTCTTCTGATACACAAATACAAATAACGTGAACCTTGAGTCTGGAGAGCATATATGAATCAACAGTTCATTTCTACTATGAACAAAGATAACTGAAAAAAAAATTCCATAGCTCAATTATTAGACTTCTGTCCATATGAAAAGCAAACACATACATACAGATACACACACACACACAAATCTTAAAATACATTATTTCTGAAAAATATACTGCTACTTCATAGAATCAGTTTTCCAACTACACTGAGTTCCAAATACTATTCTTCCATATACACATTATCTTCCTAATAAGTAGGAACCTGCTTTAGATTTGACATGCATCCCAAATGATTTTGTATAGCATCCTGAGAAATAAATGGAGAGTTGACTTCTTTCCTATCATTCAGTTGCAAATGAAGTTAAGACAATGGCTAAGAGCAAATCCACACAGGTTGTGTGGATTGGAATCACAACTCTACTTCTGAGCTGTGTGATCTTGGGCACACTACAGAGCCTATCAAACCTAAAATGAGGATAATAAGAGCACCCACTTCATAATAGTGGTGGATAAAATGAGAGAGTACAAATCTTACCAACAGTACACACAATAAAATGCTAGTTATTTATTTATTAGTAAACTAAACAAATGCTTTTTTGCTTACACATCATTGTAGAACATATCACTGTTCATCACTAGATGGGTAAAGGAGCCCTGACAACTCATCTTCAAAAAATAACAGAATTTTAAATAACTTGCATCCCTGTTAACAGTTTAACAAATTTAAAAGGAAAAAATTATCTTGAAGTGCAATGTTAAATAATGTAACACTGTGTGTCAACTATACTTCAATAAAAAATAAAGTGCAATTTCATAAAAAAGCATAATAAACCACTTACTGATATCTACCCTCTGTTCAACTGGCAAAGGACTGACTCGGCTAACAAGTTTTGAAAGACATGTTGCTGCAAGGAGCTGAGCATAGGATGTCTGTAAAGAATAATAAATTTTATTTATTATTATCACAAATGAAATTAGAATCATCAAAACACTGACAGGAACTTTTCCTAAGCAACAATGGAAATTTTTCTGGTTTTCCAAGCTGGCAGATTTACAATGAATAAAGTATATATACAAATACACACATATATGTACACAATCTCTCTTAAGGGTTCAGTCATTGAGGAAGGTGTAGGTCACTTTTTCACACAGCAGCAAATAATCGAGAGAAAAAAATTATTTTGAGCAAGTTCAAATAAAATACTCTTACCATGTCTACACAGTCCTGTACGTTCTGGCCTCTGATTATCTCTTCCAATTCACCTGGTTCCACTCTTCACTATTGTCTGATCACAATAGCTTGTCTTTTGGCCCCTTTCAATGCCTTTCCCACCCTGACCTCCCCACCTCTTCAGATCCATGTCTTACTGTATTGTATCCTCTTCGGCCACAAATTGTCTTAACTTAATAGTATACTCAATCCATCAAAATTTGGTCCAGTTATCCACTATACCTCCAGTAATTTCTTGTAAAGGTAGTCCTTTCTTTTTTTTCTCTTGACTAGATGTCAGCAACCTAAGGCCCGTGGATCAAATCCTATCTGTTTTTGCAAGGTCCGTGGGGTATGAATGGTTTTTACTATTTTAAACAGTCGGGGAAAAATAAAAATAATATTTTGTGATATGTGAAAAATATATGAAATCGAAATTTCAGTGTCCATAAACACAGAACATGGCCATGATCATTCATTTATATATCGTTGATGGCTGCTTTCACGCTACGACAGCAGAGTTGAATAGCTGAGACACACTGTATGTTGCACTCATTGCCTCCTGCTGCTGAATGCATTATAAATTGCAATAATATCGTTATAATTCCACAGCACCTAGAGTGCCATGGGTATTGCCATGACATGTACCTTTGATTATTACCAGTGCATAACCATCATGTCAAAACAAGATAAAAGCAGATTTGAAGTATCTAACTTTTAAGGCACAGCAGAGTTTGAATTATTGTTATTGAATTAGATAGCAGAGCAATGTGCTCTTTATGCAATAGCACTACAGCTGTCCTAAAAGACTATAATATATGTTGACTATATCAGACTAAGTATTCATGACAATGTTCCTAACTCACAAGAAATCAACAGTCAGAAAAAGTAGAAAATTAGAAGAGTATCTCATCTCAGTGGAATTTCCTCACAAAAATAAAATGGGACTGAGACCAAAGCTCTGAAGTGACTTCTTAGCCAAGCAAGGAAAGTCATTTACCAATGGAGAATTAATTAAAATCACCATTACTTTATTGTAGTAGTGAAATTATATATGCGGAGAAGATAAACCTCAAACTACTAGCCTTTCAATGAGAACAATGCTCAAAGAGCTGAAGACATGGGAGCAACATCAGAAGTCCATTTCAAACAAGGCAAATGATTTGGAGGTTCTCTTTAGTTCCTAACAAGCTGACAGATGTGCTAATTCTGCCTATTCTGTTACCAATATTAACCATTTATTCCAGAAGTCAATGCTAAGTCTGAAGTAACTAAAGACCTCTATGAAGAGTCTATGTGGAATTTCAGGCCAGAAATATTTTCAAAGAAGTTGAGAAAACACTAATTGTGTACAACCTGAAGCAGTATCTGCTAAGATGTGTTACAAGTGATAGTAAAAATATATGGAACAGAAAAGAGCTTAGTTGTACAAATTTACAAAGCTTATAAAAATGTAAGAGTCTAAAACCTATGGTTATTATGTTCTTCATCAGTAGATACTCTGTAGTAAATTATTTGAGTCTACTATGTGTTAATGAATCAGTGGTGTTAATAGTAGACTTCAATTCACTTTTGTGAACTTATCCTCAGTTCTGTGAATTTCTGTCAGAAATATAAGCTGAAAGTCCTGACTTGCCCCACCACACCGTAGTTCAAAGCTTAGCAGTAGTAAAGTTTTATCGCAATTTTTTTTTTAGCTCAGGGCTGAGACTGAAATTTTTCTGAGAAGAACCACTATTGTTGAATACTAAATGGCTTTGAAAATTAGCTTTTGCTGCCAACTTGATAATGTAATTTAATGAATTCAACCTAAAGTTACAAAATTGCCTAAAAGGCAAACGAGTGCTTAGTACTTACATTACAAAACTTATAATTCAGTAAAGTCATTTCAATAACTAACACTTTTTCAATCACAACTAGTAGCTGCTTTATACACTTTCCACACTATCAAAAGTTAAAACAAATAGCAAGATCTTTATTCCTGAGTATATTTTCTGAGCTCAAACTATACTTCCAGCAGCATTTTTCAGACCCTGATGCAAGTGCAAAGGAAATTTCCATATTTTAAAATCCATTTAACTGAGCAACTGAGGAGCTTCCACCTAACCTTCAATTGGATGTGATTAATCTGCAATGTAATGACATTCTGAAAGGCAAACATCAAGAGAAGTTTCAACAGAATTCTATAAATGCCTTCTAAGTGATGAATATGCTTAATTAAAATCATATCTTATGGATTGATATCAGTATTTGGCAATACCTATCTATGTGAAAAGACATTTTCAAAGATAAAATATAAAAAAATCTCATTACAGATGAGTATTAACACATGAACATTTACAATCAACATGGATGACAGAAATATTAACTTTGAACCCTAATTAGGTCAAATGTTATCTCCAAAAGAATAGTTTCATTCTTTTGACTATTAGATCTGTATTACAAAAAAACTGTACTCATTATACTTTTAAGTTTCATCAACAAAACTTTATGGAAATTTGTTTTCTCTCTTCTTATAGATGTACTTACAAAATATCCTTGATTTAGCCTCTTGGCCTGCAAAGTCTAAACTATTTACAATCTGGCCCTTTACAAAAAATGTTTGTTGACCTCTGCTCTAGCCCCTACAGTCTCCTACTGTAGCAATACCATATCATTTTATAGCCATTTTTTACACACTTATGCCTCCTCAACTAAACTATGAGTTTTTTAATGCATGTACATAAAGCAAGTAGGTAGTACTATAGCTGGTTTTACATTTAAGTATTTGCTACATAACTACTGAGTGAATGGCTAAGTATCTCTAGAAGGGAGGCAGGGAAGAGGTAATCAGCATTCCTGTGAACCATTCCTTCATGTTTTAGAGTTAATTACAACCTGCCTCTCTTGCCTGAAATTTTTTTTTTTAAAAAAAGCTCTTAGTCAACTTTCTAAAAAATGTAACCTTTGCCCACCACTGATATGAGACAACAAAAGGGGTCAAGACGAATGAAGAAACTATTTCAATTCATGCCTATTTCTACCTCCTGGGCTCTCTTCTGAAGTTTGCTCTCCAGGTTTTCCAATTCTTTCTATGATTAATCTCTTTGACAGTGAAATAAACTATAACAAAAAGATATGCGTAACATCTGTCAATTATCATTGCTAACCTACACAAATTCGTTAACACTGACATATATCTACTGATCTTTCATGGTTAATCACTGTTATCAAATACTTACTGTTCCTTGTTCTAATAAAAGTTGACATTTGCTGAGACATTCTGGGCTGTCAATAAGTTCCAGCAGTGCTTTCTCAGCCTCTATTCTTTGTGTAAGATCAGTCCCTATGTAGAGATGAGTACATAGCACTTCCAATTCAGCCAAGCTCTTGAGAAGAAAAAAAAAAAAATTAACATTTTACTTGAGTGAAAGACAAAAATAAGGTATACATAATAATACAGGAACCGAGGGATGCAAATATCATGCCTGAATTCATCAATTCAATAAATACTTATTGAGCTACCACTACTTACTAGGGGTCACAGTGGTGAACTTAAAAAAGGCCTATCTCCTATCGCCAAGTTATTTATTTATAAATTGACAGTACTGTAGTGGAAAAGTGAGAGTATAGAAAGAGAAGGACTTGCTTAATCCAAGGAGTTTAAAAGGCTTGCCTGAAGTAGTAACATTTACCCTAAAAGGGTGAGCCAGATGAAAAAAGACTAGACTGCAGTCCAGGCAGAGAAGTAGTGTTTACCAGGGCCCAGAACAGAGCGTAATCATTTTGAGGTATTAAAAGGTCAACGTCCCTGGTAGACAGCAAGGAGGAGATGCCAAACGAAGCTAAAGAGATAGGTGGGGGGAATTATCATGAGCAAGATGCAGACACTATGTCAATTACATTATTTCTCAAATTATAAGAATTTCAATGGTTCCATCCATAAAAAAGCAAAGATAATTATAAATATACACTGATTTGGGGCTTCTGAACTAATGACTCATAGTGCTGCAGGCAAACTCTGTCATGATTTTCAGGAACTATGACTTAACCCCATGTTATTTCTAGCAGTATAATAACTGGTTATCATGTTGTAGGCTCCTCTTTTATAAGCACAAAGAATAATTCATTCTGTTTATAAATATAATTTCATCTGAAGATATAAAACATGGATAATATCTGGAAAAAAAACTGAGATCAGCATTCTTGTTAGCTTAACACAATTTTTGTTAAAGGCCCTTGACTAAAACAAACTACTTCACTTTGAACTTGTATTAGAGAGAATTCTTTGGAGGACAAAAAAAAAAAAATGGCACAGATTTCAATATCAGGTAGTCATATGAAGGCAATGGGATATTCCTAAAGAAATGCCATTTTTATCCTTTCTGGCCTGAATTTTTATGTGGCAGCCTTAGAGCTACACTAGTCCAAACATTCTCTCAAAAACATATATCTTTGCCTAACATGAATGCACACAAAACACTGAAATGAGACCTCCTCTAGCTCCTTTATTCGTCTCACTTCTCTCTCCTTCTTAGCGCCTTTATGGCATTTTCCATTTTCTAACCAGGTCAGAGCCCAACATCCCAGACTTGGGAAATTTCTGCTAGAGTGAAAGATAAAGAGAAAGGTTTCAAATGAATAAATTAAGATAAAGGACCTCAAGTGCGACACATTTTAAACATTTCCCCCACCTAGACTGGCCCAACAAGCCCTCAGAGTACTGCTCCATAATGCTCATATTAAAATGCATAGAAAATTTATGGTTCATGAATACATATGAATTTCCATATTTTCTCCAAGGGTAAGAAATACAAAAATAGAAAGAGCTACCTTTTTCCCCCTCTCTTGACTCATGATCAACCTCAGAAGTCTTTTCCTTCATCTAATAAACTTGAAGGGCTGAATTTTAGAACTGGTAATACCCAGAATGATTTAATGATAAACTGATCCTGCTGTCAAGCATTCATCGAGGCCTAAGAGTCTCTGAAGAAGTAGATTTTGAATTCAAAGAGAATTGGGCCAGAAATAGTGACAAGACCTAACTGTTTAAAAGCAAAAGGCAGCAAAAAAGTAAGACTCAAACCTATCTTTTGGTTTGTTTGGAGAATTAAATGAGTAAGGTCACGTGACTTCTGACACAGAGTATACCCCATGAAGGCTAGTTGTTTATTATTATTATGACTTAATAACATTGTAATGGGTAGAACTGTATCCCCCTAAAATATATGCCCAATTCCTAACCCTGGTACCTTTGAATGTGTCCTTATTTGGAAATAAAGGTAATTGCAAATCCCTAAATTAAGGATCTTAATGACACCATCCTGGATTTAGGGTGGGCCCTAAGTCTAATGACTCATAAAAGAAAGGAGAAGTACATGTGAGATGCAGAGACACAGAGGTACACAAGGGAGAAGGTCATATGAAGAAGGAGGCAGAGACTACAATGATCAATCCACATGCCAAAGTACACCAAGGATTTACCAGCAGCCATCAGAAAGTAGGAGAAAGGCATGGGGCAGTTTCTCCCTCAAGGAGTCCAGAAGGAACCAATACTACTGACATATTAGTTTCAGACTTCTGGCCTTCATAACTGTAAGACAATAATTTTCTGTTGCTTTAACCCACCCAGTTTGTGGTAATTTGTTACAGTAGTACTAGGAAACTAATACAAATATTAATATTAATCAATTCAGTGGTACTTAAGTAAACCTATTTGGAAAGATTCCAGAAAAGTTCTGGAGATTATTTTGTCTGTTTTGCTATACTGATTTAAAGAACCTCAACAAAGAACAAATCTGGAGTGAATTCAAACAGTATTGGTTTAAGTCAACAATATTACAAATTACCTTTTTCTTTCCAAAAGTTATTTCAAAGTATTAACTGAAAGGCAGTGCAAGATAAAAAGGGAAGGATTTGAACTTTTTCTTAAGAAAGACTGAAAAAAAAGGCGGGGGGGGGGGAATCAAGTCATTCTTTCACTGTGATGATAATAATGAAACACATGCCAGGCATATCAAATCTTTTTAGAGAAAAGGATACACCCACAAAGATCCTTACTCTGGCGGAAAGGCATTATCTAAACATTTAAAACACTTAAACTCACAATGTGGTGAATGCTGACTGACCAAGCAATCTTCTGATTAGCATTGGACTTTCCAGAGAATCTATAAAGAAAGACTTTATTTTTCACAATGAACTGATAAATTTGCATCTTGGTTTTACACACTGATGTCTACGCATATGGTTAACATTAGAATGCCTTAGAGAAATGGATCCCTTCTCTATTCGCTGACAAATCAGGTTTGAGTTATTAAAGCTCCTGCAAGGCTTAATATCAATATTAGAAGCCCATAAAAATAACTAATAGGTAGAACAAGTAGAATTGGACATCACCTAACTCCCAAAGAATAACTATTAAATATAAACAGACAGCATCCAACTTCCATAGCATGAGACAATGACATAATTCTGCCTTAAAGATCTTCCAAGTTATTCTGAACTCATTTCTAGTCTTTGCACGTGACATACAATTAACCCCTAAGTGATGTGACTTCTTTCTATACAGTGATTCTCACACATGTATCCATCAATGGGTAGATGCTAAGTAAAACAAACAAACAAACAAAACAGACAAAAAGCATACATACTGGAAGGTATTACAGGAAAAGAAAGCAGATCACAGGTTTTGGCCAGGGAGGGAGGAGAGCAGAACAGGATGGGGGAATGGCAATGGGGGTTTACAAAGGAACAAAAGGAAACTTTGGGGGGTGATGGATATGCTCATTATCTTGATTTTAGTGATGGTTTCACAGGTGTAAACATATATCAAAACAGCACAATTTAAATATGTGCAGTTTATTGTCAGTTATACCTCAATATTAAGCTAAAAAAAAAAAATGATGGCTTTTGTTCTAGGGAAAAAATGGCCCCTAATTATAAACAAATAAATCGATGACCCACAAAAATGCCACCCCAACTGAATTTAAAACTCATTTCAATTACTTCTCTATATCTTTCCTGCCATCTGGAATTAAGGTTCTTGATTATCATTAATAGAAAACACTTTCATATTGAAGTTACTAATTTCCCCACAAATCTTTCTTTCTTCTTCCCTTTACTACCTTTTCCTGAGCATACCTAAAGGCTTATTCCTGGGTCTCCTGAAACTCCTCCTTCTACAATGAATCAAGATGGTATTTGTTTTTAGAGCTTTATAGTTTACAAAAGTATTTCCATCTTTTATTTTTCAACCAATCCTGAAAAGCAGACTCCTACAAAGTACCTATCTGTAGTACACCCATCTTAACACAAAAAAACAAAACACTGAGGCTGAGAGATCCAATATATATATATATATATATATCAAGTGTGGAGTAAATGGTCAATTTTGAGCCAAATAAATACAAGTCTACAGACCTCAAGAACATGCTGTCTCCTTACCACCCTGATGTCTTTACTTCAATCTGCAAGGAGATAAGCAGATGATGTCCTACTCCATACTTTCAACCCTGTCTGCTCACCATCTTTATACCTACCAATTTCTTCCTCTTGGAAATTCAGAAAGATGCTAAAAACAAGCCAAAAATGTCAGAAACTGAACAGATTTCCACTTCAAGTGGCTCTTTCTTTTCAGTGGTTTCAAAGGTCTATCCCAGAATCTAGATTTATAATTTTGATGTCAGCTTTGTCTCTTCCTTCTCCTTAGCCCCTCCTATATAGTTAAAGAGTTTGGCATTGCCCAGAGAAAAGTCTGGCCTTTACCCTCAGATTCTGGAAGGTTAACCTATATCATACCTGATTGGCCTGTTTCTGTTTAGGGGCTGGGAGTTGGGGGATACACACTCCGTAGTCTTAAGTTGGGGGCTGGCCACACCAGAAAGACCAACTGTGTGTTTTAGGATAGGGGCTTTGCATCACCTTAGTATTAGTCAGCCTAAAGACTGAGATCAATCACGAGGGCAATCAATAGTCAATCATGACTATGTAATGAAGTCCCAATAAAAAGTTTCCTAGTTTGCAATACTCAATGCATTCTGTAATACATATAGGCCGGGAGAGTAACATGTCCTAAGGAGAGCAAAAGCTTTGTTTTGGAACTCTCCCAGACTCTGCCCTTTGCATCTCTTCTTTTAATCAATTTTAATCTGTGTCCTTTCCCAGGAATAAACTGCATGCATATGACAGCTTCCAGTGAATTCATTCAGTCCTTTTGATAAACTATCAAATCTGAGCGTGGTTCTAGGAAACCCCCAAATATGCAGTTGGTGTCAGAAGTGAGGGCAGTCTTGTGAACTATGCCTTAAACCTCACAGTTTAGCTAATTCCTGGTATACACCTAATTTGTCATGAAATCCTAACAATTCTTTTTAACTCGAGACTCAGACTCAACACCTCTACATGATAGTCACAGACAATAGAGCAATAGAACAGTATTTTCTAACTGTGGCCTCCAGTGCCGTGGATTTCTTCAGCAGCTTCTTTGGGAATGAGGAGAAGCTCTAGAATCCACCACTTATTGACCCCAAGCAAATTATTTAACCTTTCTAAACCTCACTTTTGAAACTGCAGGTAGTAATATCCACCTTCCACAATAACCATGAGGAGTAAGATAGAAGACAGAAAGCTTAACCCAGTGCCTGGCACACAGCAGATCCACAATAAATTGTAAATAATCCCTTCGGTGTGTGATAAATTATAAAACACTATATTGGTCTTCTAGCTATAGTTTCTCCCATTCAAGTCCACACTGCCATGATCCTTCCCAAACCTCTTTCCCATTATGTTACCATCGTGTTCAAATATAATAGTGCACAATCACATCTAGATAAATCGGGTAGCCTGGCTGTACCGGTATGAAGAAACATAGCCATAGTCCCTGGTTCTGGAAAAATTCTGAGAGCAAAAAGATGAACCAAATGAGTACTCTAAATTTTTCCTGGCATTATCTGATTCTCATCTCAATCCCTCTGTTCTACCTAAAATTCTTATATCTTACCTATTCCCAACTCTCTTTCCTCACTCTGCCTTCCTCCCCCCAATCTGGACTGTCTCCTCTCAGATGATAATCCAGATTCATTGCTTTCTTTGGGACAAAGTATTCTAACTCACTCACAGCTTCCTAACCAGAATGCATGTACCTTGATGGCATGCCTGGCATATTGATCCTCCAGCCCTCCAGGCAGCCAGGCTTTTGGCTGTGAGTTTATGTCAATGAACAAGACAATCACCATTTTTTACGTAAGGCATAATGTGAAAAAGATTGTGGAGAAGTGCCCTAACCCACCTTACACAAGTCCATATCTTTACTCATCACGCTAATGGCATAATTTTTGATGAGCTACCCTGGTGAGTAGGTGGACAGTAAGATATTGATATGAAAGAATATTGAATTATGTATTACTAGGCCTACTCTACAGCCTTCCGCAAGTCACAACTGTTCTAAGATTCAGTGTCTTCAAGAATAAAATGTATGTATATACATATATGCACATCTCTCAAATTAGTTGTGGGGCTCAAAATCTACAATAAGCATGTGAAAATTCAAAATGCTAGGTACCGGTCATCAATATTAATAAATGTTCCTGGAGAATATGGTCTCATATGCTAGAAATACTTCAAACTGAAAAGTTTCAGAGCTTTTTTTCTGGCTCTCAAAACTGTTTGATCTTTTATTTGTCCAACTACACTTTTGAGCTGCTATGAAATACATTCCTGGAAAACCAATACAGGTAGTTTTGGCATTAGCAGCTAATTTTTCCAACACGCTACCTAAGTATGAAGAAATATTCCAGGACTGAGGAATTTACTATTATGCATCATCTTTCTAAGGCTGAAAACTTCCAAACTTCCACTACAGTCTTCACTCTCAAGATTTACACCTGAATCATGGAACACTGCATCAAAAACTAATGATGTAATGTATGGTGGTTAACATAACAATAAAAAAATTATTTAAAAAAAAAAAAGATTTACACCTGAACTATGAACACTTGATTACCTATTTATAACCCCAAAGTCCTCCCTGTAAGTTTATTCCTGTGAAAATCTCCCAGGGGGCATGTTTACCACAGTGGAAATAAATAACATTATTTTGACCTGGACACCCTCAGAAATGGCAAGGAGTCAAAAGGTAATGTGTGGGGCTCACTACTTCCTGGTCTATAAATCGTGGAGCTGTCAATCACCTGACCAGAGAGTGGACGGCTGAAAAGAAAAGATCTTTGGAAGAATCAATAAATAAGAAATGAGTCAGTATGACCACAGGCAGTCCGAAGAAGACTACAAGAAGAACTTGACACATAGACACAGTCACATTATGAAACTGACTACCCTCCAAGGTCATTCCTGCCATCCACAGCCTCCCCTTCTCCTATTTTATATGAACCTTATGCTGCAGCCAGACCAAACTTCCTGCAGTGTGCCATGTTCTTCCACAATTCCTCGCCATCATTCACATGGTCCTTTTGCCTCTATACTCTTCCCCTCCTCTTCACCTGGCTGGCTCCTACAATTCTTTCAAGACCCACTAGACTGCAAGTTACATGAGAGTACAAATCATAGTTTTGCTAGAGCTGTCTTCCGTGCCTAGCAAAGCAGGAACTCAATACAATACATAACTGGACGAACGGAAGCTCAAAGAAACGCAAAGCATCTCCTCTGAAAAGCAGAGAAGCTCTGCCTCATTCCTTCTCAACACAACACACACACACACACACACACAAACACACGGTTGACTGCCCGTCTTCAGTGTTCCCATGATATCCTGTGTTTAATTCCACCATATCATTTTTACATGTACTGTAATTATCTGTGAATTCTGTGAAGGCAGGGATGGTAAGATGATGTAATCCTTTAACCCAGAACTGTGCACAGTGCTTGACACAGTGGGGAGCTCTATAAATGTTTGTTGAATGAATAACTGGATGCACATGCCAGTGCAGCCCGAGAATACGTGAGCCTTCCTCCTCAAGTACGCGTCCCATCCTTATCTCCGCGCTCCTCCGGCACGCTGCCCCGGTTTCCTCCTCCAATAAGGCTGCTGCTAAGCACTCCGCAACTCCCTACAGATACAGCCCCTGCCCGCTGTAGCCAATTAAAAATCCAACCGCTGCCGCCGTTCCTTCGGGGGACCCTGGCCCCCTCTCGAACTGCATCCCAACCGTGTGGAGGCTGGCGATGGAGCTGCGGCCAGCGACGCGGCGGGAAGGCTGGTCCGGCCCGGCCAGGTTCCCACCTGCCTGGGCGCCGCCAAAGCAGCCCTTCGCGCCGTGCGCCGCGCAAGAAGTGCGGGCTACCGCGCAGCGGATCCTCAGCATCCGCACCTCCCCGGAAGAGCGAGCTCCGAACCTGGCCCCTGCCCCTCCACCCGCCACCCCCGGGCGCGGGCCATCCCCTCCTCGGGCCCGGGCCCGGGGTGGGCAGCCCAGGCCAGTGCCCGAGTCTCCGGCCGGGGCGGGGGCTGGGGCTCCGAGGCGCGGGTCCAAGGCCCGGCGGCCTCCGCCGCCGTCCGAGGCCCTCCGTCTCCAGACCGCAGCGTCCCGCCGGGTTCCAGGGGCGGCGGAGCGGGGGCCCGCGGTGCAGAGCGCACTGACCTGGAAGTGCAGCGCCATCTTCCCGGGAGGCGGCGCCGGCCGCCCGCCCCGAGTGCCGGAGGGGAGGGAGCGGAGGCGGGCACCGCGGAAGCCCCAGCCGCCCGCGGGGTCCCTGCGCCGCTGGCTTGCCCCGCACGTTCGTCGCCTCCGCCGCGCGGCCTCTGCGTTTGAAGCGCTGGACGGGGCGGGGCCTGACGGGATGGGGCGGGGCGACGGAGAAGGCGCAGGGGGGGAGGGCCTGAGGGGGCGGGGCCTAGGGAGCCGAGAATCCCAACCGTCCCCGGAGGTTTGAACCGCTGATGCTACCTCAGGTGGGTCGTAACCTCTGACATCTTTCCTTTGACACAACCACCGCAACCCAACTGTCAGCCATGACCCCTGGCTCTTACATCTCCCACAAACTCTGTTGATCCTGAAGCCTTACAACACAACTATTGCCCATGGCTTCTGATGCCCCCATCTCCACAATTGTTCTTGTCCCCTGAACACCCACCTGCTGTGCACAATCAGCCATAACCTTGGACTCCTTCATGCCAACTGCTGTCCTTGACCCCTGACTCCCAGAGTCCAACTTCCGTTTTCTTTTTAACTTTATTTGGGTTAAAATTAAAATGACAGTGTCTACATGGTGTTAAGTTGTAAAATTCTAGCTCACCTCTTACTACTTCTCGCCTGTATTTCATTTAATATGAATTTGTATTTTACACCAAATGATTCCATTGGAATGAGAATTTATTTGAACAAAAGTAGGTCAAAGTCACTCCTTTCTGGTGCTTTTCGTTTCTACTTGAAGATTGACCCTTCCAGTTGGGGGCATTGTACTTTAGTGTGAAAAATTACTTTAATACTTCTTATAGTTCAAGTTTACTAGTGACAAATTCAGCCTTTGTTAACATGAATACATCTTTATTTCACCTATATTTTTAAAAGATAGTTTTGCTAGGTATAGAATTCCATTTTGTCTTTTAAAAAATATGTTCTCAGCATTAAAAAAAAAAAGTCTTTTTCCTTGATTTCTGGTTACCATTGTTTTTGTTGAGAAGTTAGCCATCGGTCTGACTATGGCTCTTTTAAAGGTAATATATCTCCCACCCCTGGCTGCTTTAATTTTTTTCTTTCTTTTTTGTCTTTAGCAGTTTGAGTGTGATGTAACTCTGTGTGTGTGTGTGTGTGTGTGTGTGTTATCCTGCTTGGGATTCGTAAGGCTTCTTAAATATGAAATCTGATATTTTTATCACTGTTTGAAAATTCTCTGTATTTCTTTAAATATTGCTTCTGTTCCTCTCTGTCTCTTATCCTTTTGGAACTCCGGTTATATGTATGTTAGACTTTTTTGAGTACTCCATATGTTTCTTACACTCTTTTCTGTAGTTTTTTGTCTTTTTTTTCTCATTGTGTTTTAATCTGCATATTTTTTACTGACCTGTCACCCATTCAGTAGAAACTCTGTTCTGCTGTGTCTGAGCTGCTACACAACCCCTCTATTGGAATCTTAATTTTAGTTATAATATTTTCAGGTCCTGAATTTTCATTTGAGTCTTCCCCTTCCATTCTTTAAGCAGGTTCTAAGGCTCTGGTGGAATTGTTTATCTTTACTCTATTTTCTTGAACATTTTAATCATATTGTTTAAAGCCCCTATCAGATAATTCCAATATCTGAATCACCTATGGGTCCTCCTGGGTTTTGGCATTTGGTCTTGTTTTTTAAGCATGCCTATAATCTCGTATTGAATGTCAGACAGTGTGGTAGAAAAATTGTAGAGACTGTGGATGATATCAGCTTTCTCCAAAGAGGATTAAGTTCTCTTATTGCAGTAGGCAGATAGAATACAAGTGAATCACCTTAATCTGATTGAAACTTGGTTTTAGGCTTTTAAATTCAAGTTTATTTCAGTTTTGCCCTTATTTCTAGGTCATGGTTCTTACCAGATCTTACTAGAGCTTGAAAGCCTGAATATTTGCCTAAGACCCCTCCACCTTGTGGGGCTTGAACTCTAATCCCCATTTCCCCAGTACTGTGAAGCTGCTAAAATCTCTGTTCAACTCTTTAGGCACTGCTGTTCTGCTGAGTTTCTTGAACTCTCTTCCTGTGCATGTGCATCTTAAGAATTTACTGATGATTTAAAGGGAATTTATATACAGATTTTGGGGCTCACATCTCTGTAATTTTCTCCTCTCTAGAATTGTATCCTTCAAATCCCAGCTGCTTTTGTTCCTAGACTCCCATCTATGCTCCTAGCCTACTGAGATTGCTACTATCTGTTTAGCTCTGTTACCCCTGTGCTTATTCAGAATGCCCAGGGTGGGAACTGACCTGAATGTGGACCTTGCCCTTAGTGCTTTCATGCTCTCAAGGGTTGAAGCCAATCAAGTCTTCTTGTCTTTACTGGTTGTTCCCTAGTGCCTTCAAGTGGTTGTTATATATGTGTGTGTATGTGGGTGTGTGTGTCATTGTTAATACACATTAAATTATCAAATTTATATTTGTTATATATGTAATATATTAACATATTTGTTAAATGTATATATATGTGTGTTTATATAAGTGTATACGTGTGTGTGTGTGTGTGTGCATGTGCGTGTTTGTCCTATTTTTATAATTGATTTAAGTGGGAGGTCTAATTCAACATAAACTACTCCATTATGATGAGACTGTTTGCATCTTCTATTCTTCACCCTTGATTTTTATAGCTCATCCACAGCCCATGAGTCCTTGTCCCCATTACCCAGCTCCTGAACTTGAAAATGTTCAATACCTTCATTCTGCCATTTATGACTCCTGTATCCCAGAGTTTTTGATTCCTATATTCTAACTTCTATTTCCATGCTTTAAGACTTTTGATATCCAGTCTCATTTGTGACTCCTACATCCCTAGCACCAGTGTTGATTTCTGACCTCCCTATTGCATCTGCCATACAATACCCCGTTATTTTAACTGCTTATTGCCCTTGTCTAACTTCTGAATCCCAGTCCACATTTTAAAGCTATTGTTTTAAAATGGCATTTCCCATTACCTCAAATTTTAAGCTATTACAGGAGGAACAATTTCTTGAGATTTGATCATTTGGCTTTTTTTTGCCCCAGAGCAGAATATCCTTGGCACAAATATAAGATTGTGATAAAAACAGCAGCTGACTATTCTGTGGATTTGCCAAGTAACTCAGAAAATGAAAAGCCAATTATTTTTTCCCTTTAAATTTGAGTGACCACTTAAGATTTCAGTTTATAATGAACTCTCCCTTCCATGATTTTCTAACAAAATATGCATACAACTCTGTATCTTTTTTGTCAATTAATAAAATTTAAGATAGAATTGTGTCACTGCAGCTATTAAAACTAGCACACCTGGGGCACCTGGGTGGCTCAGTCAGTTAAGTGTCTGCCTTTGGCTCAGGTCATGATCCTGGGGTCCTGGAGCCCTGCATCAGGCCCCCTGCTCAGCAGGGAGTCCAATTCTCCCTCTCCCTGCCCCCACTCATGCTCTCTTTCGTGCACTCTCTTTCTCAAATAAATAAAATCTTTTTTAAAAAAATTTTTAAAAACTAACACAAAAGATGCTCCAGGATGTCAAATAATTCATTTCTATCACAAAACTCAATTGGAAGAGGGACATTTAGAGCTCTTAGGAATTACAAAAGTATCTTCTATGGCAGCTAGCTTTCTAAAAAAGACAAATGGATCTTTGATCTTTGTATCTTTTCAGGAAATTCAATTAGCATTTGTAATTCTGGTACCTTAGGAAATTCACCTAACATCTTTGAGTTTTGATTTGTTTTTTGTTGTTTCCATAACAGGACTTATGTGGGCCTGAACTGTGGGACTGAAACTTCAAAATATCCAACTAACAACAACAAAAAAAAACTCAAAATATCCAACTAAAATTCTTTTTTTTTAAAGATTTTATTTATTTATTTGACAGAGAGATAGAGAGAGCCAGAGAGCACAAGTTGGGGGGATGGCAGAGAGAGAAGGAGAAGCAGCCTCCCCATGAGCAGGGAGATGGAGCAGGGCTCCATCTCAGGACCCTGGGATCATGACCTGAGCCAAAGGCAGATTCTTAACTAACTGAGCCACCCAGGCGCCCCTCCAACTAAAATTCTTACTTTATCAATATGTAAAATATAAAACCTATGGTCAATCATTTACTTTAGTAGCACATATAAACAAAAATAGGAAACATTAGTACACACCTCCGTTAATTTATTCTACAAAATGTAATTTTATTGAATACACTTAATAAGATTAATTAATACCTCAGTAAGTTTTAGGAATCCAGCAGAAGGCAGGCAAGTGAGAGAAACAGGAGAAAAATGCATCCAAAAAATTCAGTTATGTAAAACCCCTCCAAAACACAACAGCTGGATAAAATATGTATATTTGTGTATATTTCTTTCATATTGGTTGATTTCAACTATGATTTTATTTTATCAAGTCAGTAACCTTAAACTCTATTTAAATATCCAATATGAAACCAGAGTAACAAAAAAAACTTCTTCTCCTCTGGTGATATAAATATGAGTTATCTCACAATCTTTATTATTACACATATACTAAAAACTGTACACACTTTTCCTTAAATGATTTTACACTTTTAACATACTGGCAATAACAAAAGTATACTGCTATGTATTAATAATGCTATTATTTTGACAAATTAAAACTAAATAATATTTTTCATTTTGTATATTGCCTTATATTACTTGCTTATTAGTTCTTCCGCATAATAATAAATAGTTTAAAGCATTGGTTACCTCAGGAAGATAGTAATGTTATGTTAACTATGTATCCTTAAAGTTATCCCTAAGCAGCATCATAGTAAAATGTCACTGACATGTAAGGCTATTGGATAAAGTAGTATACCAATTCTGAAAAGCGATTTGCAATATATATCAAGAATCTTGAAAATGTTTATCATCTTCACCCAACTTCAAGAAAGCGATTCTAAGAAAATAACCTAAACTGCAAAAAAAAAAAGTTTTATATGTGAAGTTATTTATTAAAGCATAATTTATAATAGGGGAAACCTGAAAGGTTAAGTAAATTATGGTACAGCATATGGCAAAATCTTACACAGTCATTAAGGATTATATTTATAGAGAATTTTGTAAAAATGTGGAA